AACCCACAAGCCACTCGCTCCGTTCAGGGGGTGTCACCGCGGAGCTGAGCGCGGCCGGTTGCCACGGCGACGGCCAGGCCAGGAAGGCCGCCGCCCATTGGCTGAGCGGCCAGAGCCAATGAGGAGGCGCGATGTTGCGAGGTCTTAAGATGGCTGCCGGGCGGCTGGCTCCGGACCGGTGAGTGGAGCCGCCGGTGGGGCTGATTCCCGGGCTGCTCGGGCTCCGGCGGGAGGGGAGGGGGGGAGGAGCGCCGGGTCCGGGGAGTGAGGGGGCCGCGGAGGGGCCTCACAGCCTTTCGCCCGAGCCGCCCCGGCCGGGCCCGCGGGCCTGGCCTCCGAGGGACCGGAAGCGCCTTCTCCGGCCCAGGTGAGGGGGGAAGAGGCTTTCGGTTAGGCCGGGAGCCAGGCTTCCGTGGACGATTGCTGTGTCCCGAGAAGGAGATGCAGTTAATGGGGGTGTCCGCCGGCTAGACCTCCGGTGCCGGAACCTTCGGCGCCTGGTGCTGTGCCGGGCGCCCCGGGGGGACCGGGGGGACCTGCCCCCAGAGCGCCCGCCAGTTCCGGGCCGGTCGGCGCAGCCGGAAGAGGGTCCCTTGCAGGAGCCACCCTCTTGCCGTCAGTCCTGCACGTAAGTAAGTATTCTCTCAGCCCCTCCTCGGTGTGTGGCTGGTTCACTGCGCGTCTTTCTCGGGTCTAAGGAAGTGTGTGTGCCACGGCCGAGCTAAACAGACACCCTCTTTAATGAGAACATACGGGTGCCTGCAGAATCCTGCTGAACACACATCCATGCTTGGTGTACATGGGTGTTGGGGTTGGTACTTACATCCCAAGGCAGGCCCGGGATGCACTTGTACTTCCTGCCTTTTTGAGAAGAGGGAACGCGTTTATTTTTATGAAAGTAAACATGAGGTTTACATTAATGTTGATGATACATTTTTAAAATTCTTTATTGTTTATAGTATTGAGGACACATGTTTAAGTAACTTATTCCGAGCCTGATTATTATTTAAATTATTTAACACTCTTTTCAGATTGGGGTGTGTGTGTGTGTGTGGGGTGATTATACAGTAAGGATAAATTTATATCAGACAAGGTTCAGATTCCTGTGGTTATTTCTAATTGAATACAAAATGTGGTAGATAAAACTATTATTTGGTGAAAAAGGCATTGAAATTCTGGAAGAGCAGAATAGGAGCTAGGAGACATTTACTCCTTAAACTGCTTGGATCGTATCTTTTGGGTTTTGGTTATAGGCAGCCGTCTGGTCGGCCACAAATGTGACAGTATTACCAGAATGTGACTTTTGATATATGCAGTTTAGTGTAGCATCTTACATAGTTTTCTGTATTTAACAGTGGGGGCGGGGATTTCTTAATCAAATTTTAGCAAGTCTAGGATTAATGGCTAGACTCATTCTTCCAAATTTTTGTCCTCTAAAAGTTTATAATTTGAAGTCATGAGTTCCATTTTTGTAAAATAAGTGGATAATGGTGCATTACACAAGTCAGTTATCGTATTTGTAAAACGTAGTAATTCCTCATGGGAGGACGGTTGTGAGATTAGTGGTAAATCAGTACTTGTCACATCGTTTGTATAATAAATAGCAATGACCTGCTCTGTTTCCTTGTCCTGGTTCCGTTTCTTCTGTCATAATGTGTTTTCTTCTCTTTGATGTCTTGTGTGAAGTGCAACTAACTGAAAACTCAGTTTTGGCTGTGACAGCTAGGGTGAGGAGAGGGCGGTCTCTCCTAGGGCAGAGGGGCCTCATCACTATTGCATCTCCCTGGAAGAGGATGGAGTATTGCAGCAAAGAGTGAGGTGACCGAGGATTTGGGCACATACAATATTAAGACCCATAAAGAAACATTTGAAAGTTGCAAGACATCTCAGGGGTCATCTGATCAGACTTTCATTTTATAGCTTAAAAATGGAGACCAGGCAAAATGCAGCGTCTTGCCCACAATTATGTTCCTTAGAACTAGGAACCTGGCTTCAGCATTCAGAACCAAGTCTTTTGCTCCCGTACCAGCTGTGCCCCATCCTTTCACAACCCCAGATGCCTTTTATTATAATTTGCTATCTCTCTGGGTGCCATGTTTTGAAAGATTGTGTCTAATGTGTATTCATTAGTGTGTGTGTGTGTATGTGTGTGTGTGTGTGTGTATGAAAATCAGGTCTGTAGCTACCAATCAGACCCTCTGATCAACGAATATGGTGAATAATGCTTCATTGATTTTAAGTCTCCTCATGTAGATGTGGCTGATATTGTCTGAGGGAGAAAGTGTTGGGCTTTGAATATTGAAATTAGCTTAGAGACCTCCATTACTATGTTCATAAAACTATAAAAACCTTAGATTAGGAATTGCTGAACTGTGTCATGTTCTTGATGCATTGCGATCTGCCCACTGTGCTAAGTAAATAGTGACTGTGGTTTTCAAGGGGCAAAAGAAAGCCCAACCATTCAGACTAGAATGATACTAAATATTTTCAGAGTAAATTGTGTCAGCCCAGGACTAAAGCTGTGTTCTGTGTAATATACACAGAATTTTTTAAAAGAATAATTGTGGGAAGGAAAAGAATCTTAACTTCAGAAGTAGAGAGTGTATGAGATGGTGAAGGTGATATTTAAAATCATGGAGTAAAAATGGCTTCTGAATCATTTGCATCTTTTGTGGGGCAAAAATGGTTGAATTAAAATTGTTTCAATTACAGACTTAAATAGGTTTTGTATTAATACAGGGATTGTTGTATAGATCTGGCTAAAATGTGCACTAAAAACCGTTAAGTTTCCAGTTTTCTGGTTTGCCACGTCTCCTGGGAATGGCTGAGTAGTTTCACATTTAAAGGGTAATTTGGAGTGATCTGCTTCAAAATAAAGGAATATGCACTGGTAGGTGTGGCGGGAGAGGTGCTCCAGAGTAATAGAGAATCAGAATAGCCAAAACAGAAATAACAGGAGGCCTAACGTAGTATCATTGGGAATGTGTGGAAGACACGTCTCTGCTATGAATAAAAAACGGTGTTTTCGAACATGAGCCCAAAGCGTGTCAATAGCTGCCATTCTGTGTCGGGCTGATTTACAGTAGAGCTGCTGGCCACGGGGCTGCTCCGCTTTGCAGGCTCCTGTGTGGAATTTGGGCTCCATGAAGTTAGGCATCTTTGCCTGTTTGGTACACTGCCTGCTGTCCCATGTCTTGAGCGCCTGGCACACAGTGGGTATGCACGAGATACTGTGGATAGGGGAAAGAAATGGTGGTTGCAAGCATAGAAGACGCCCAATTATGTAAAGCTATATTTGAGATTTGTTACTACACTTAAATCCTGAAATGGAAAAGGAGCCTACAGGTGTATTATATGCCAGTATCACAGTCATGATGGAACTTACTATTGCTCCCCTCTCCCTGCTTTTCAGAAGAGTAGAAATATTTTTATTAATAACATGACAACTTTTTTAATATTGCTATAATTAAACATGATGCCCTTTGTGCTTATAGAGCTACTCAAGATGACCTCCATTCCAGCTTTCCAAATCCTCAGGCTGGTGTAGGGATGCCTTCAGGTTTTATGGGGCCTGGAGCTTGTATAATTTTGGGTCTCTAAAAAGAAGGAATACATATTCTGAATATAAAACTAGGTGTAGTGTTTTGTGCAAATGAGCCTTGAAGCTTAAGCTCCATTATCTTCATGCTGATTTGTTTCTGGCTTTATTGCTCTATTTAGAAAACCAGACACCAACATTTTTTATAGAAACTTTATGTCAGCTCCTGGAAATCAGGGAAGTCAATGATTTGCATCAATTGTTAAGCAAATGCACTTCAAATATGAGAAACTTCCAAACTACCTTAGGAATGCTGTCAAAATGAACATAGCCACAGGAATAATAATAGCAGAAAAGAACTGAGCACTGATTGAGCCCCTAGGACCTCCTAAATACTTCTGAGTGTTTTCATGGCTTATCTCAATCATCAGAACAAGCCTGGATGCATTATAATTACAGATGAAAAAACAGAGGTGTTAAAAATGATTTTCATATAGTCCTAGTATATGGTAGACACAGGATTACAATTGGAGCAGTTAGATGTCAGATCCTTCCTCTTAAAAAGTCAAGAGAATATTTTGGTGAGGATGTTTCTGAGAGCTAACAGCTGATGAGTCTGGACCAATATAGCAGAAAGTAAGATCTGATGTTTGGACCTGGGAGGAGGTCCTTAAAGTTATTAGGGATCATGGAAAAGCCCATGATGTCTTTGTCTCAGAGATTAATAGTGGTGGTTTTGTTACTAGGTTAATTAATCACAATACGGGGTAGAAGACTTAGCAGAAAAGATTTCTATTCATTTTATTCCTTCAGGTTGATAGTAATCATGAGCGTACAACCAGCTTCTCTGTTTAGGGAATCTTTTAAGTAAAATGGATTTGGCTCAATATTCTAAAATAGATTGTGCCATTATAGTGAAAATGTACTCAGTTATCTTAATTTGAACAAATTGACTACAACTCCAGTTTTTAAAAAGAATTTTTATTAAACTTAACACTAGCTAATGTTTCTTTTTACAAATGGACAGTATAGCTATTGCTAAATATTATTTTGAACTTTAATATTAGTTTACTAGATATAGTATGTTTTTGTTAAAATGTTAGGATTATACTCCATTTAATATTAGTTTAGCAAATAGTATAACATTTTAATCTAGGATATCCTTTTTACCATCACACTTTCCTCATACTACTTGTACAACTTAATAAACGTGGTTTTTTTTTTTTTTTAATAATTTTTTTCCTGCTCCGTAGTAAGTCCTCTGAATGTTTTATACATCCAAATACAGGTGAAACATTCAATTTTGTTTTCTCCCATTATAGATTTTTAAAAAGTTTAGCTGGACTGTTCCCAAACTATAGGTATAATTATTAGACTCTGGGATGTCATTTAATGGTTTTAAAATTCTTTGCCCGCCTTTTTAAATAGGTCTAACTTTACCCCTTTCCCTTTAGAAGGAAAGATGTGGAGTGGGCTGCTACCTCCTGGCCTAAATGAAAGTGATGTTGAGTTGAATTCTGAAGATGAAGACACAATAGAGAACTCTGGACCTAACTTACAGGAAGATGAAGAAGATGGGACCATTACAGAAACAGAGGGCACAGATTTCCCTGCCGGTGGACCAGACACTGAAGCAGAGGCTAACGTAAATGCATATGAAGAGTGTCCTTCTGGAGTTCCCGTACATATATGGAATGTAGGTTTTCTCTAATGTGCCTATTATAGCCTATATTTGCACATGCCTGTGTGTCTCTGCCATGGCCAGGATGTACATGTTCTTGGGAGGTAATATGATAGGTAGGAAAAATTCACCTAGAATTCTTTTATTACCAGGTGGGTCTGTGGTCATTCCATTGGCCAGTCAGATATTTGCTTTCATTTTTGTTTTGTTTTTCATAAAAGGGGAAAGAAAGCAAATATTTAGTAAGATTAGCTACTTTGCCTAATGTGATACAGGAGGGATTTCTATCTTAATTTTATCTTTTTGTTATCTATGAGCCATTGAATTTTACTCTCAGATCATCAGTTTGACTTACATAGAAATATCTAGAAATAAAGTATGAAAACTCAGATAGTGACAGAGCCTTGGAGAATATAGTATCTCAAGAAGAACTTAAATACATGTTTATAAATACTAGAATATAATAGTTTTATTATTATTTTTTGATGCATATATTGCTTCAAAATATATTTGCTTGTTTTTACTTTTATGTAGAAATTTCAAGAATTGCATAAAAAACATTCTGAACAGAAAATCTCATCTTCAAGATTCAGAAGGAAAAAAAGAAAACGCTCCAGAAAAGGTATTTTGTTTTAATTCAGGTTAATTGTCAATAGTGCTAATGTTAAACTGTGACTAACAGAGCTCCTTAATTTTTAATAACTGTAATTTTGAAATAACAACTAAATACTTAGCTATTAACACTGTGAATTCTTTTCAGGTAAATTGAAGAATGAAGAAGAATCTCCAAGGTAGGTGGAATTGAAAATATTTGTCTATTCTAGTTAGTATTTGTAGAATTTGTACAAATAGTTAAACTAATTACCTCTGAAACATAACAAAGAACTAGTTGTTGTAATATAATAGTAGTGACCAATTAAAAACAGTAAAAGTAAAAATGAGTGCATGTAGTGCAAAACATATTGTTTATCTTTTTATAGTGAACAGTCCCCAAGTGAAACCCGGTTGAAGGAACTTACTCAGTATTTTGGAGTCAATGACAGATTTGACCCCCCTGTTAAAAAGAAGAAAGTTGAGAAGGTAAAGTATTTTTGATTTTTTTTTTTTATTGCATCTTATATTACTCAGTAGGAAATGTTTATAATTAACCTTGCCAAAGGTAGTTCTCATTAAGTGACTGTTAACATGCCTACTACGTGCCAAACAAGGTGCTAGATAAAGAATATATAGTTACAAATCATTAACAAAAACTCTTAAGAAATAAATGATTGGGGTATTGTGAAGAAATTCAAATGGAGGCCACACTTTAGCTTGATGTGGTCAGGGGAGAACATTTAGATGGGCCTCCAGAGTTCATTGCGGGGTGTGGGCAGTATCAGCGAGCAGGAATAGAATAGACTAGGTAAAATGAGGCAGGAGGTTGGAGGAGAGTCTGAGCTTTAGAAACACATTTGGGAATTGTCGGTCTATATATAGATGATATTAATACTGAGTAGAGGCTTGAATGCAGGCTTGAGTAACTTACATATTCACATACAGGAATGATGGACAGATTCCAGCAGCATAAAAACAGACTGCTGAGTGGTAGGACTAGAGCACAGGGTCCTGCCTGGTGAAGCCCAAGTATATTGTACCCTGTGTGTGCAGATAAATGCCTCCTTCGTGAGTCATTGCTATAGGTGATTGTGTGCGTAGAGATCATTACCATTCCCTGATTAATCAGTATTTCTCATGAAAAACCTTATTTTCACCCATCGCTGGGTGGTGTTGCATCATTGAGGGCATATGCATTAAGGAACTCACACAACAGAATTTTACCTGTGAACTTGTGATTCCAGCTTTGTCGAGTAGAGGAGCTGGACTATGACCTTATCAGCCATGCTATTTGTAAAGTGCTTTTAGCTTATGGTGTTAGGCGATGGAAATGTTTACCTACGGATGATTCTGTACTAATGTAAGCATTTGGAATGTTAATATCTACTAAAAGAGCTAAAAATAAAAAAAAATTAAAAAAAGTTGAACATATAAGTGGGATTCCAGGATTTTATTTCTAGGAGAGGGTTTTGGTCATCCAAGCCAATAACTGATTTTCTTTAAGGAAACAGACACTTAAGAATTAAGTACCTCATTTACCCAGAGCTGTGACCACATTTCCTGACTCCTAACCCAGTGTTTTTTCTACTATGTTATGCCTTCTCCCTTAGACGCTGCTCCAAATGGCTGGGTAATGGAGGTTGATTGATGGTGAAGAGATACATTTATAATTTTAGATGATTTATTTTCAGCACTTCATACAAGTTTCTAAAGAGGGAATGTTCTTTGTGACAGTAACTTGTAAGCTGTGGCCCACTCATGGTAGCCAAAGGGAAGTAGCAAGTTGACTGAATGAACAGACCACTGGCTTATTCTTGGGCATTGGTGGTAGAATAGGTTGAATTCCTCTGCTCGCTGACCTGCGTTCTACCTCTGGAGTAAGGGAATGTGGCACCCAGGGGATCCCCATCTCAGGAAGCCCACCTAATGGGAGGGACACAGCAGAGCCGCCATGTGGGATAGCAGGACAGACTCAGGAACGGATGCTGTTAGACCAGGTTGCTGAGGTGAAAGACTGGAGAGCAGGTGTGGGTTGAGGTGTCAGGCTACCCCGGAATTTGTGGCACAGGGAAAATTAAAGTTTAGTATTAATGCTTTGTTTTCACATATCTTGGTGGCATTTGAGGAGATACCTAAAGTACTATGTAGGAAGGAGAGGCTATTGTTTTAGTATTTTTTAAATGAAAATAGTTTATTTTGACTATAAAAAGAAATATTAATGAAAATGTCCCAGGTGCAGGTACTGTGAGCCTATTATGAAGGGAATTGGGTGCTATTCAAAAGGAGTAAGAAAGTGGTTTTGTTTTAAGCTGATAATGACATGGTATCCGCTTAAGAAAAATAGAAGACCAATTTGGAGATGGTTATAATCTTTCAAGCAAGAGATTATGACGCCCGAAGAAGCACCGAAAGGAGAAACGAGAGACACTACAAAAACAGTTAAATTAAGAGCATGGGATTGGAGGCATTGAAGTCGACTGAGGATTTTATCAGGGGTGACTAATAGGGGAGTCAGCTCTAAAGGAGAACCAGGCGCAAGTGAGGAACTTGTTTTTAGATATAATTAAAAAGGAAGGACACTACCTTCAATATGAAGATAACTAGGAAAAAGCTGGAGCTGTAGATCTTGATAAGGTGAAAGGTCAGATGCTTTAAATTATATAGAGATCCAAAGCAGCTTATGAGAATTAATTGAAGGCCTAGGATTGAATTACTGTGTGAAATAAGAGTAAGAAGGGGTCAATCACAGAAATCGCAGTACTGTCATTCAGGGGCAATCAGAGAGAGGGGGCTTCAAAGGAGGTTGAAGATAGATACTTGGGGGGATAGACTGAGGATGTAGTTAACATAAAAGATGCTCAGGTGAATGGACAACAGTTGGTGTCTCCTGTGACTATAGAGGATTAAGGTTGGAATGAGATGACATCAGGGCAACCGATAAGAGTGTTTTAGAAGAGAGAGAAGTGGTACTCACATAAGAAGAAATCAATTTGATGAAAGAGGCGGAGGCATTCCATCTAGTCCCTGGTCCAGATTGGGGGTAAGGGGAGGACAAGCTTGTCTGTGGGATGAAAGAAAGATGAAGAAAGGGGGAGGGAGGGTAGAAAATTTAAAGAGCAAGGTCCTGGAGAGCATGAAAGCCTATGGTGAGCACAGGAGGTGGGATTCGTCTTACAAGAGAGACGATTCTTTCCTGGAGGCAGTAAAGAATGAAGAACAGAGTACCCGAGGATAACTCTTTTTTGAGGTGGATGAAGGGAGGTTGTAGAAAGGACATACATATCCTTGGTTCTTCCCCTTCCCCCGCCATGGGCTCCCGTAAAGTGAGGGGTAGGGTTCCAGTCTGAAAAGAAAGGAGTAATGGAAAAGACATGTAACAGTGTTGTGGAGGAATGTGGAGTCTTTCAAGGGAAAACTGAGAGCCCACCCAGCTGAACTTGATAAATGACTTTTAGGGAAGCCAGTGAATTGAGTTATTTGATTTTCTCTGACATTGCTGAAACACCTAGATGTGAAAGTAGTAGAAAGAAATGGTTGGGAAAGCCTAGACAAGATAAGATGTTGGAGGAAATTGAAGGCATTGCTTAGGTCAGTGGTTCTCAAACTGTAGCCTGCTACACAGTCTTTGCTAGCAAATGCTTGTTTGCCTTTCTTTTCTGCCTTTAAGTTTCAGGTTTTGTGTCTTTCTAGTCAGGCCTTGAAAAGAGCATAGACCAGGCTGTGGACGAGTGGAATATTGAGAAGGCCGAGGAGCTCAGCAACCAGCTAGCTACCCGAGAAGTAAGTCCGACCTTTCTTATTTCCAAATTTTCTAAAATGAATGGACATTTTTAATGATCATAAGAAAGTTCAGTATTCAGGTATTTGACCTATGATTTTCCTTCCAGTCTATTTTCTTTCCTCTTGTTCTGCCACTTATTTACAAATATTTTTGTTTAAGTCTAAAACTTATGGTGGAAATATAAGTTCAGAGACCTTTTTGCCCCTTATGATGAAAAGGCTAGTGGCTTGCTTTCTTTTTCTGTTTGCATCATTTACTCCAGTTTAACTCTCCAGGAGGAGAGTTATATATAACTCTGTGTGTTATAATACTACATCTCTCAATGTTATTCTAAGCCTTGCTCCCTAGAATGCATTCTTATTTTATATTCTGCACATTTCCCTCAGCCATAAAGAATTTTCAGTCTTTTTAAAAAAAGATATAGTTTATAGTATAAAACTAGTAGATACATTGAATATTCTTTTTGCACCTTCTGGGGGGAATCACTGCTAGGTGTTGCTAGGCAAGGGCACACGTAGAATAAAGAGCTCATTTTGGCATGTTTTATTGTTGCTATTGTTTTGAACATTTTTTTGTCCTTGCTACTATAGCTTTCACTTTTAGCATCTCTCCTCTTTCTTCATTTTATTCTTAAGCTGTAACTGCTCCATGGGGTTTGAGTATATGGGCAGCATCATCAGTCCTCTGTGTAAACAGTTGGCCGTGTATACTGTTTTCTTACTCACCTGCAGACTAGTGATGAAATTACTATTTTAATAAATTTTCCTTTGGAAATACTATTTCACTCTCACATCATTAGATGTCAAAATTCTATTGATGGCTGTTTGTTTGATTTCTCTTTTTGGCTGCCAGCTAAGTATTTTGTGAGGTTCGTATTTCTATGCAGGTAACAAACCAGTCCAGTAGTGAGGGTTAGGGGTGTACAAGTTATCTTTCTTTCCTGAAGCTTCAGTGACGCCCTGGGAGGGGACAGGCCACCTGTGGCTGCGTGTCAGGCAGCGGCTGCTTGTTCACTCCCCCTGTCTGCCTCTCCCGTGCTCCTCGTGAGCGTTCCTTTCTCTGCCCGTGGAGCTGCTCGTGAGGCTGCACAGCGTGCTCCTCAGAGGCTTCAGAAACAAGTGTGTGCTTCCTCGGAGGATATTTGGTTTCTGGTTTTGCTTTGTCAGACTGCTGTTTTGGAAGTGGGAATTGTATTATACAGACTAGGTGTTTTCCATTTTAAGGGCTGTTATTTTCTGTCACACTTATGACAAATGCGATTGCTATAGGAATACTTGATATTTTCAGCATTTGTAAGGATAGTAAACATTTTCCTCAAGTGCTCTTTTTACTTTCATACAAATATAATCCTTTGTTCTACTACAATAAATTAAATTCATTTAGTGTGGGGTTAGAGGATTCTGATTAAAGAAGACAACAATTTGAGTCCTATTCTAGTCTTTGTATAAGTGGAAAAACATCTGGAAGGTGTTTGCTGTTTAGACATAGACATTGGAAAGATATTGATGCTATGTTAATTAACTGCCTGTGAAGAATAAAGTAATCAAGATGGAATTTCTGAATAAATAGTTTAGTTTGAGATTTAATGTTTTATATTTATCCCTTGGCTGTCGAACACCGCGGCGATGAGAGATGGGATTTGAGAAGGAGGTAATTGTGGGTTGGGACAGAAACCCTTTGTAATTAAGTGCACACATGCGCGGTGAGAACCCTTTTGGAAATCAGGTACGTTGGTTTTTAATCAGGAGCATTTTCTTTTTTCAAGAAGCGGTGACTGGGGCCAGCTGATAAAGCCTTTGCTCAGAGGCACAGATCCCAGAGTTCTTTAAGCCTTTTCTAACCATAATAAGTGAAACTAATGTTTGATGTTTAACATTTATAAGCCTGTGAAACCAATAGGGCAGGACCAGTGCTGAGAAAAACGAAGCCAGAAGTAGAGCCATGTTTGAATATAGTTCCTCAAAAACATGCCAAAATAAGGCTGTCAGTGCTTGTGGTTGTGACACAGCCAGCGCACGCTTTTCCAGAATCGCCTTCCCTTCAGTTAATGGTAACCTAAGGATGTCTGTGATCTGAATTTCTGTGGAAACAGGTTCAGTGTCTAAAGCCTAGATTGCTCCATTACCTTTGGTCTTGTCCTGTGGTGATGTTGCTTTGGGACTCCTTAGGGTTATGGAGGAGAGAGGAAGCAAAAAATATACTTGGGTTTGCGTCATACTGATGAAACTGTTTAAAAAGTTGTTTTTAAAAAAAATATCATTTGTACACACGCACACACACACACACACACACACACACACACACGTATTTGAGCACATTTGTGGCTTGTTAACCTCAAGCCTGAATTGTAAGTGCATTCCATTCATTATTGATAGTGATCCTTTGAAAGTGCCATCCTCTGGTACTAATATGCAAGTATTGATATTCTCATCTTTGTTAAGGCCTAAAACCTTCCATTTGGGGTAATGATACAATGCAGGCCAAAGGCAATGACTTCCGCCATTAGTGCTGTTGGACATTGTATTTTTTTAGAACCTAATCAAGGTCTCACAGTATAAATGATAAAAATATCCCATTTTAATAGATAAAAATACTACATTGGCAGTATGAATTAAACTAAGAATTTTATTTTTTATTAATTTTTAAAAATAGAACTATTTAAACGTTTGGATTCTAAAACATAGGTAAAATTAATATTGAAATAATAATAGTTTGTTAATCTTTAAAATAACAAAGGTAGAAATGGCCTTTTAAAAAATGTTTGAATTGATTGAGTTGTATTTTTTCCTAGCTAAACAAATTAAATGCTATCTTAAATTAAGGCAAGTTATTGATTTAGAGCATAAAACTGTTTTTAGAGCAGTTCCCTAGAGTATCTGAAGGCATTCTCATTGAAGAGGGTATATACACAGTGAAGGATAGTTTCTGCCTGTTGTATGAACAGCTAGGAAGTGGTCCTTCATCAGAAATGCTTCGGATGCCAGAGGGCTTATTCCAGCTTTCAGAACTTTCCCAGGACAGTTCACTGTTAGGCTCAGTTTCCCTACGAGGATTCTGGCTACAGTTCGCTCTTTCTATTCTGGTTTAGTCTATGGTGATGTACATGCCACGCTGTCTTGATGGAATAAGAGCTTGAATTACTGCTCCCTCTTTCAGACTCCCCTCTCCGCCAAGAAAACAAAAACAAAATAGGTTTAGCTATCCAAGTATATGAAGCATTATCATATCTAGAGTTCATAATTAAAACATTTGTTTACATTTTTGGAACCGAAATGCTGCCAAACTTGGTAAGTTTAAAGTCACTTCCCATCAGTGCTACTTTCAGAGCTCTAACGTTTTAGGAAAGGTGTTCACATCACGTGGAAGATGATGAACTGAAAGACGTACTACAATGAAGGAAATTTCGTGTTCGAAACCCCTTATTCTGTAATCTAGAATTCTTCCTATTTTTTGAATGGGTAGAAATATCTTAACAACCATCTTTCCAATATAAAATAATTCAGATATGAAGCTGAACATATATTCCAGTTAGCTACTGTAAGAACCTGTGACTTTATGAAGAATGCTAGGTACTTTCCATTTTCTTAATTATTGTGATTTCTAGCCACTGAAGATTGTGTAAGCAAAGTAAAAGTGTATTAAATATTGCTCATTTGTATATATTAAGGATTTAAAGTTAAATATCTCCATTTCATTATTTTTGTAGAAACAACATCATTCTGTTAATCTAGTACCATGGGTTTATATGAAGAATGCATTATTTCATTATAAAGCCATCTAATGCCTGCTATATATATCTTATGGCCTTCTTTGAAATTTTACTACTCTGCCTTCTGTCGTGTTTTTTTTCTCTTTGCAATTAGACAGTAGAGTTTAGGGCCATTTTCTTTGTGGTACATGTCACCGATGAGCAGTGGGAGAGAATACAGGACTCTGGAGAGAAAAGCTCGCACTCGTTCAGTAGGCTTCTTTCTGCTGGTCAGCAGCTCATTGGCTACCTGGGCAAGTTGGGTGTCTGTTAAGGATCATCTAGAACCCTCTCACTTTCACTAACTTTGGTTGTCTTAGTGGCTTTTTAATTCGTCTGTGTATCATTTTGTAGTCTGCTCATAGAATGGGGGCCTTTTAAATGGTGATTTTAATACCTTTGAAGCCTTGTTCTCCTTAGATTTTAGGAGTAATTCCGTTATCTCATCTAGATGAACAATTAGCACAGTGTATGAAAAATAAACTATTCCTATGCAGGTAAGGGAAGACTTCATTGAGTTCCTTTACATTGAAGTTCAACATATGTTCATGCTCACTGAAACGTTGTGTGTAGCCTTGGCGTTGGAGCATTTTAACATGGCAAGACAAACATGGCACCCAGTGGTGGGTTTTCCTCGCAGGGTTTTGGGTGAGCTTGCTCAGATCCATTGCATTGAGGATGTCTTCTTTTAACCTTTGGGGTTTGAGTGGATGATCACCTAGGATGGTGTTCCTTATGCTCCCTTTTCATTATGTTTATCTGTGCTTTTAAAAAACCTTAAGAAAAGATTTCAGATGTTACAAGTCTAATTAAAGAGACAGACAAAGCACAGTTTATACTGTAGATTTTTTCTGCAGTTCAATTAATCAGCATGTTTTCTCTTTTAATTAAAACCATTTTAGTAAATTAAAGCCCACAGCAAAACACATATATAATTTGTTTGTAATTAGCTCTTAATTGGTGGTAGTTGAAGCTTAGCACCCTCGGTTTCTTTCTTCATGATTGCCATTTTATTAGCAGCCAGTCATTAATTAATCTTTTTCTAATTAGCTTATAAAACTGTTGATGGCACATTATTGTAAATGTGATTTTAAGTTCAAAGCTTGTTAATAAGCTTTCTTACTTAGAAGAACAGAGATAAAGAAATTGCTGAAAACAGCACTACAGTTCTTTTTAAAAAAAAAACTGTCTTTTTTATGGGGAATGTGTAAAGCATCTAACAGCTTATGGTTAATTTTTTAATGCTTTTCC